CTGACTCCAGGTCCAGTGCTTGATGAACTACGATGACAACTAGCTTCCCCAGAGAAGAGAATACCTAGCTTTCTTACTTGTGCGTGGCCCAGAGTAAGCACTTCATAAATGCTTCCTCTTCTTTTTCCTTCCTCCCTCCCTTTCTATGTCTATTTTACTTCTTGAATACTAGAGTCCTGTATGATTTGTTTCTCAGTCTTGCTTATTTAGACAGGGCTTAGACAAAGCCAAAAGGAGTATGTGCTAAGTTAAAATGGTCAGAAAATACAGTCTTCCATAATCATCAAATGAAAATCACAAAAAATCACATCAGACAGGATAAGTCCCAAAGGCAGAACTTCAGATATTAAGCCTGAGTGGAAGGTAAAAAAAAATACTCTACTTACAGATTATTTCCTTCATGAGAAACAATAATTTCTTGATAACTAGGGATGAAATGAAGTAATATCTAGTTGCCCTACATGAACTTAAGACACCTGTCTCTACATTGTAAGGTCCTCAAAGAACTGGCAAGCATGTTTGATAAGACAATGGCCCTGTAACTGACCATGAGAAAAGGTATTACAAGACTGGAGAAAAGCAAATCTCCTAATTTTCAAAAAAAGGAAGAAACCAGAAACTGCCAGCTAAAACCCTCCATTCCGAGAAATTTTCATCAAGTTTTTTCAGATTAAAAACCTTACCTCTCAAATATTTGACTTCTCAAATTCATAAAAATAAGAGCCATTCCCCAATGTATAAATGGTTAAAGGGGGCAGTTTTCAGAAGAAATCAAATAAAAGTTATCTATAATCATGAAAAAACGTTCTAAATTGCTACTGATTAAGGAAGTACAAATTAAAACAACTCTTGAGGTACCACCTTATATCGATCATATTGGCTATTATGACAGAAAAAAAAATGACAAATTGCTGGAGGTGATGTGGCAAAACTGGGATACTAATGCATTGTTGGTAGAGTTGAGAAAGGATTCAATCATTCTGGAAAACAACTGGGAACTATGCCCAAAGAACTATAAAACTGTAATTTGATCCAGCAATTCCAGTATTAGGTCAGAATCCCACCCCAAAACCCCCCAAAAAATTAAAGAAAAAGGAAAAGGACTCATACATACAAAAATATTTGTAACAGCTCTTTTTGTGGTGGCAAAGAATTGGAAACTGAGAAGATGACAATCATCAACTGAGAACTGCCAGAACAACTTGTGGTATGATTATGATGGAATGCTATTGTGCTATAAGAAANGATGAGAACTGCCAGAACAACTTGTGGTATGATTATGATGGAATGCTATTGTGCTATAAGAAA